TGTTGGTTACTATGTTCAAGTGTGTCAGGTTTTGAAGTTTTTTTCTTGATTTAAGTATCAAAAGCAGTGAACTCCAGTCATCTGTGTTTTCTGCAGCCTGAATGTCAAGAATCCAGAACCATTGTTAACAAGGAAACCAGCAGGATCCTAAACAGTGTCAAACACCACTCCACCTGCTCCACTTCACACTCACACACACAAAACAATCACTTAACAGTTACATGTATCAACTTTCAGTTGAGTCATATCATGACCATATGAAAATATTGCATTAATCAATTTAAAATAAATGTATTGGTAAATAATAATAACCAAGCTATGGGAAAGCTTAATTAATAACAATGTATATTCACGCCTGATATTGATTTAACCATATCACACACACACACAACACTCTTTCTCTCCAACATCGCCAGAGATTTTAAAGCTGAGATGAGCTGAGTTATTGCTCATCTCACCGTTATAGGTTCAACTAAATGATGGCATACAGAAAGTAGATGATTATACGTTATCAACCTGTTGCTTTGTCCTGAATGTACGGAGTGTATTCAGGCTGTATTTTAACCGCCTGCGTGCACAAACATCTGCAAAACTTTGCCAAAATAAATGGCTAAATCACAACATCCTGTGTGCACGCTGGTTTGTAAGTGATTAAGGCTGCCCACTGGCAGGAGGGGCAGATTTCATGAACATCTGCTACTGACACACGCACACTCACACATCGCAGCATGTAAAGCGAGAGGAGGGAGTGGGTGGAAAGGCAACAGCTCAGGCACATGCTGCTTTGTGACATTTACATGTATTTGTGTTTACCTGTACTGCACATATACAATCACAACTGCACACACATATAAACATACACACATACACTCAGCGTGATGTTCAAAAAACAAAGCAACATATGCCCATGCACATCTTGCCAAAGGTTTGTGTGTTTTTGAGGAAAGTCAATCATTCAAAAACTTAGCAGAAGTCCTTGGAAGCTAACCTCCCTATGCATACAAACACAAACACACACCCAGCCCACATTTATTTTACCCTCCAGCACATTTGCAAATATCTTTTGAGTCTTTTAGAAACTCCAAGATTCTGGGTGCACAATTGGGGTATGGGCCAAATTCTTGCTCAATACTTGGGTTCGACTCTTACTCGAGCATCTTTCAACATAGCTGCTTGCATGAGAGAAATCGATTAGTGATATTGGGAATTGGGAATTGGGTTATGATTCAATGATATTATGGATGGTGTGATGCCCCTGTGGGTTCATCTGGAGAGGGTGTGGCTGTACTGTGTCCAGCCTTGATTGCAGTAACTCAGGGCACCTGGGTCTGGTGCCCTGCACCTATTTAAAGCCGCTCTGCTCCTCTCTGTCTCTCTCTGCTTTTCCCTACAGGCCCCCGGTGTTGTTGAGTATATGCTGTTGTTACTTTAGTTGCTTTACTTTGTGCACCTCAACACCCTCACACATACACGTCCATGCAACCCTCACCCTGCATTTACACTACTGATACCACTGACGTCCACACCTCATGCTTTACTTATTGTTGCACTTCATTAATTTGGCTAATTTGAATTGTTTGGTTAAATAAACATATTTTATTAACCGTTGATATGGTGTGTCTCCTCTTTGTTGTGGCCTTTTGAGCCAGGTTATAACAGATGGCAAAATACCCAGGTTCACTAAGGTGTCCTATTTCTTAAATGTAAAACGATTCAGGTAGCAGCCTCATCAGTCAGTTAAAATGCACCACAACGTGTCAAATGAACACATACATTTCTGATTGATGCACATACACTAAATTGCCTAAAGTGATTTGTGAAGTTAAAATGTAGTAAGGTTACCCGATACCTAGCCGGATTGATTAAGTTGCTAGTAGCATTACAATCTCATTCCAAACTGTAAGAGGTTGACTTCTGAATCTGAAATCTGAAAGAGAAGTAGGATGCATGATATGTAAAAGACGATATATTTTGTTGCTCTACATGGTCAAAGAATGAAGACAATGAAAGAGCAAAAAAACATGGGTTAACCTGATATACAATCACTCTAGTACGACAATAACTTTGCTATAGGAAAACTACTGCCTAAGCAGAATTCCATCTTGGAGACAATTAGGTATACAGTATTTTATAAATCTATTTCATTTACTTTATCTTTCATCCCTCCTTCCTTTCCTCTCCTCTCACCCAACTCTTCTATCTTCCTGTCTCTCCTTTCTTATTGCACACTTCCCTTCGTTGTTCCCATCCCCCCACTTCTCTCTGAGATGAGGACTGTCAGCGAGGCCATATATTTGACACAGTGCACCATGGACTCCACATATATCCAATCTACAAAACAGTGTTCACTTATAGGGCAGCGGATATGAGGGGAGTGGGAGATGGGAGTCGGCTGGGCGTTGTTGAGTCCATCACACATGTTATATAAGACAGTGACAAGGATTTTAAACATATCTTTAACCATATGGAAAATACTGTACTGTCAACACCAGCTCTATGACTATCACTGGATCCCTGTACACCCCCAAGCAACTAGCCAGATCCCTAGTTGGCATTTCAAATAGCATTTTTGGTTTTAGTTCTACCAACTGTTGAAAACCTATGAGTATTTAATTTAGCAATTTTATTAACCGGAGAAAAAAGCAGCCAGCTCTTACATTTGTTAAGCTGGAAAAAGAAAATGTTTCGCATTTATGTGTAATACAAATATGACTTACATGTGTTTTTTTTATATATTTCTATCAATCGCATTATCAACTAATACATTCAAGCACATCTGATTTACGGACATAAGCTCAGGCTGAAATCATGTGATGGTAAGAACCCTTTTAAACAGAAATTAGTGAACATTTAGAGCGTTTTGAACACACCATTGAAATTAACTATCCACAGCAATGGATTTCATTTTGTTATTGGATGGTTACAATATTTGGCTCATGCTGACATGGTAATTCATATTTTCTGCCATGCTCCTGGATCACTGTGTTACCTTCACAAATCATCTTTGTAGCCTGAGCTTCAACTGTTTCACTAGCAGTCAGTTACTCATAGCGTGCTTTTACAGTATGTCAAAGACCCCGAACTACTCCTTTAAATTCATGTGGCACATTCAGCTGGGCATGCTTCATGCAGCTCTGCTCTGCTCAGGCTCACTAAACATATCACACTTGTTCTGACACATGAATAATGTGGAAAATACAAAGAGAGAGGGAAAAGAGACAGAGAGAAATTCCACTTCTGTTCCTTCACCTGATCCAAGTGACTTTTCCTCTCACTCCCCTGTGTGTGTCTGACACACACACACACACACACACACACACACACACACACACACACACACACACACACACACACACACACACACACACACACACACACACACACACACGCACACACACACACACACACACCACACATCACACACACACACACACACACACACACACACACACACACACACACACACACACACACACACACACACACACACACACACACACACACACACACACACACACACACACACTACACACACACACACACACACACACACACACACACACACACACACACACACACACACACACACACACACACCTTGGCAATCTGCCTCTTTCCAAGATCTTTGGGTGCTACAACCCTGAAGAAAAACACCATCAGCTACTTCAACACTCCCTCATGAAGGCTTGCGTGCTGACACAAGTGATGAATGTCACTTCGGAGTAGGAGAAACCAAAAAGGTCTTAATTTATAAACAGTGAAGACACTTTGTGGTCTTTTGACGAGAAACATGCATGCAAAGTTATTGCGTTAAATCCAAACATAAAATATAAACAGACTGATGTGCTCGGAACGTAACTATTTGACTTAGTTGGATTAGTTGTTACTCTTGTTTACATTAAGAACATACATAACACAGGTGTTAAGGCTGAGGACCTTGACTGTACAAAAGTATATTGTCTGCAGGAAATAAGCTGGAAATTGTGATTGTTATCATGTTGTTCATGAAAATGTATGCTGCAAGAAGATATGGACGAAGGAAAAAGCAAAGTCACAACAGATGCTGCCGGATAAAGGCAAAACATATGTGCATATCAATGCATTGCTCTGAGAAGTGAACATATCAAATAATTTGGTGGTAGAAGAAAATGTTAATAAACTATAATGCAACACTGGTATTCATGGGAAATAACCTATCAACAGAAAGTAATCTTGTTTTCTAATTTGACCTATATCCTTTATCCTTTAACTTACACACTTGTAATGTTAGAACAGATGCATGGATAAGGTACAAAGATGGATTAATCGGAGTGGGAAATATGGAAGTGTATGCACAGTATCTCTTCGTGTTGCAAGAACAGCAACAGAACGTACTAGCCCCATTCAGCTTTTGAGAGAACCCACAGACATGGTGCGTTGTTTTTCAGTCAATGCAGCTCATCAGAAAACATTGACACAAGCATGTTTGTTTAAGTCACATGTTGTAAAGACAACAGTAAAACCAAATTTAGCAGCCACATTTTGCAATGTTGTGAACTGCTATAACTGTGGCCAAACAACAATTGAGCCTTATATTAGATTAGTATGGGATCCCTTTGCTTACATCAATGAGACAGTATGAATGGAGTTTGAAAATTACAAGCGAGCTTATTAACTCAAGAGAGAAAAACATTAAATGAATGAAAAACAGGCTGTTTTCAAAACTATATCGTAAATGTGGGACCTATTTAAATACACGTTTGTATTAATGTTTATAATAGAGATGTGGCTTTTATACTGTATTCATGAAAAACCATATTAACAAATCGGGTAAATAAAGGTCGAAATGGACAGCGTAGAGCTTCAGACAGTTGTTATTATGACCAAACAATAACGTAACGCACATTTTAAAAGTGCGACGCTCAGTGCAAACTAAATTAATTCGCACAAGCGACGCAAAAAAAACTGAAAACTAAGTGAGCCACGCTACTTTTACTTCAGTTTCACAAACTACCGTGTACCTGGTTAGTGGTGTCAGGCGGCAGATTCTTAATGAGGATTTTCCTCCTGTTGCTCAGCTCCTGGCGAGTTTTGGCCAGCCTCTTCTCGATCTCCTCCGGCTCCAGCTCCGGCAGGTCGCGGAGGCACATCTCAGAGTCCGACGGCTGCGCTGCGGCCGCCGCCGCCTCCTCGTCCTCCGGCTGCCGGGTCTCTGGGCTGTCCATCCCCGGGGAAAGTGTGCTGTCCCCGGCAAGAGAAGAGTGAACGCTCGGCGGCTGGATGGATGACGCTGCCGCCATCTTGGGTAGCTGAGTGAAAAGTGAGTGTGAGGGAAGTGAGTGAGTGAGAGAGACAGAGAGAGGGGGAGAGAGAGCAGGTGGGAGGTGTGTCCGTAAAAGAGAGAGCCCCCATTGCAAAGAAAAGCTTAATTAATTGAGTCAAATCAACTTCCCTCAGTAGCCTATGCCTTATTCTTGGAGTCAAACATTCATTTAATTACACTTCTATATTTCCCGACGTCATCAACTTGCGAAATGTTCCTTTGGTTTGTTTGGTTGCTAGTTATTCTGTTTTATTGGATGATGTGCAGTTTTTGTAAGAAAACAGTTTACCTGCATTGTATTCCTTTACAATCATTTTTCATTCGTTTAAAGGTAAAATGTGCAGGATGCAGTCAGTTCATGATACAAAATGTTTAAAGGGGCACTTTGCGGCTCACGTGGTGTCTAGCATGTCATGCAGCACCTCGCGGACTCCTGGCGACCCCAACCGTCTGCTGGATGTATGGAAGAGCCAATTAAGATCCGTTACAATCACCAGCAGTCCATCACACAGTTTGTTCAGTTCGTGTAGATTTAGTGTTGACACCAGAAGCTGCTTGATTCTGACATGGCATCAATGTTTTACTCCACTTCAATCATGTAATCAACAGGTTTTACAGGAGAGCATACATCAACATCCACATGTTGAATCTTACAAGTCTTTTATGGTGTTTGAACTGTGACCAATACAGAGAGAGAGAAATTAGCTGTTAAATACGACCACAAGCCTAAGCACTAGGTCTTATTTTTGTTGTGAAGTCCAATTAACACATTGATTATTTTGCTCGAAGACTGAAAGAGAGAGAGACATTCACTGTAGAATATCTCTACACCACTATAGCGTTCCTGTTCCCCATGAGCATAATGTGACCATGAATGGCTGTGTTCCTTCCCTCCTTTCTACCCAAGTCATCCAGTGAATGCCAAACTAGCAGCCAAACGAGCCCGCCTAGCTGCCTGCCCACCGTGGGTGGAAAGCTGCTCCTGGCAAACACAAAGGGAACAGAGCTCCCTGCCGAGTCTTCACAATGCCTATGTAGCTTCCGCAGGCTCATGAGTGGCTGATAAGCACGCAAACACACTGTAAACTCACACTCCTGTAGGCCCACAAACATGTCAGCTATTGCACACTTCAAACCACTAAAGGAAATATTTAGAGCGTGATTATGCTGAAGCTTTTAAGAGATGGTGAAATCAAGCTCCTATCATCCAACCTCCATGTTCTCTCTCTCACCATCTGTGTGAAGCGTTTCTTGGCAGATTGCAGTCCAGACACTCACAGTTGTCAGTGGGTGAAAATGATCTCACATTGCCAAGTGGCTGAAGCAGTGGAACTGTCACACACCAGTATATGGACCGTTTGTATGAACGTTTTAATCAAGCTTATGCTCAGTAGAGCCAACTGCTAAATTAAAAGCAAATAAAGGCTGACAAAAGCTCTTTCAACATGGTGAGGGACATATTCGATCTCTAAAAACTATACCAGTTTTCACTTTATTATTTCTCTTCTGATCTGTGGCAGGCTGTTTTCTCTTAAAACTAATCTGTTTGTTACATGAGCTACAAATCACAAACTAATGTCCTACTGCAAATCAAAAGGTGGGAAATGCCCTTGACCAGCATCCATCCAATGAATATGCAAGACATGTTTTATTTAAATCTTCTAAAAAAAGGAATTTACACATGAAAGGCATTGAGTAGAAGTCAGTTTTTAATCTAACTGCCGCTCATACAATAGGCCTTCTGACAGATTGTGGGACATGAATCATTGAGCAGTGGTTCTCTGAAACGACAGCAAGGACTTGCTTGTCACTCGCACAGGCTGATTTTGGGAACGCATGAATCACTCCACTAAGTGCTAAACAACGTTTCCATGAGAGAACAATTAATTTGTTCTCTCGGTCCCTCTGGAACGAAAGTATCTCGTATTAACACTCACAGACACACTTTGAAATACACACTCACAGACACACTTACACACACACACATTAACTCGTGTCAGCCTGCAGCAAAGTTAAGTTGCTCAAACTCTGTATCTTTCATAGCCTTGTACCTTTGTGCAAGTCAAACCCCACGATAATGGGCTATGCTTCACAATCCAAGGGAAAAGGAGATGTAAGTCTCTCTCCATGTAAAAACACAAGAGCCATGCTAGTGCTTCAGCGTGTCAGCCAGTGATTCACAGCCTTTTGGAGTGGGTGGGAGTAGAGAGGAGAAAAAGAAAGCGGGGAAAACGCTTGCCGCTGCTCGCTGGGACTGAGAGTGTGATGGTGTGGGTGGGCAGAGTGGCTGAGCGGGCAGAGCAGGCACCTGGGATGAGCTCAGTAGGCGTGAGGATCGGAAGGGGGGGTTTGAACCCTACATGGAAAAGTGGTTGATTGCGCGTGGGGGTTGACAGAGATCATATACACGTGTGCATATCCAGTATGATAGTGCAGTGTGATTATCGACATCTCGCTCTGTAAATCCTGGAAAAATGAATTGTAGGCTCTCCCTACATTCATGAGCTGGTGCTGTGCTCTCATAAATGATCACATATGGAGTCTGGTGGTGTTGCTTCCTTTTTCTTCTAGCATAGAAACGATTAAGGAAATTGTGACCTAGTAAAAACTGCTGACCTGAACCCACAGGAGAACGTGCATATTAGGTCCCTGCCCAATTCATGTCCTAATTACAATGGTCAGACGCATCCCTGTTCACCAGTGCTTCAGGGAAGTCACTTTTTTGTGGCCAGTAAGTGAATCAGTAATGAGAATTTTGCATACCTTAACATGAATTAACCCTAGCATAACTCATGTTTCTTTTTCTTTTTTTGGTCCTTCTAAAAGGCCCAGATTTCAGTTTGTAATACTGTAAAGTTGTATCTTTGAGCAGAACATCGAATTTCTCAACAAACTTCCTCCAAGGAGATTTTGCTGTTAGATTCAAGTTCTGTCACTTTTTGCACATTAGTCAAATGTTCACATATTTTCAGTAAAACCCACATGATGCGTTAAAAAGCATTGTCTGACATTTTCATTGTCTGGTTTTAATGTGCTCTAAATTGCTTTCATGCAAGACTTAAAATGATCATACTGCTTAGATGCATTTGGGAAACTGGTACTCTGGACTGCACAAAATATGCAGCTTGTGCATGTCTGCTGTACTAGTTGGCAGAGGGAAGACTGACTGAAAAGACCCGAGGGTGCTTGGACTCGAGCTCAGTGCTCTAATTCACAGCGTTTCCCTGGCAGGTAGCAGCAGACAGTTGGGCAGGAAGAGGGAGAAAAGCAGAGATCAAGAGAATAGTGAAAAAGAGACAGACAGGGCCATGTCGAGAGGTATGAATGAATGCAGACAAACTGATAAGGTTTATGGGACGTTTGGACAGGCGGACTGACAGTCATGAGGAAAGAGTTGCTTCTCTCCTTCAGCTATCCAAAGTGCTGAACTACTTCCCAGCTGATGCTCATTAAACTGAGACCCCGGCAGGCCCCTCTCCATTTTCACCTCAAGGAGAAACTGTTTACTTAGCCTCACTCTATGACCTTCTCTTAAAATAGACAGAGATAGCCACCTACCCAGTCTATAATTCATTATTCAAATGTGATATCACAAAAGATACGATCAGATTAAAGGTTTAAAGACTGACCTCGCGAAATCAGATGCAAATAACTCCTTCTATATACTACAAACACAACACAAACAAAAAACACATGAGTCCTTTGGTTGTTCCTTATGTTATCAAGAATCCAACTATAATCAACTCTGTGTGCCAATCCGCAGAACAATTATCAAAGTTTGCCAAATATGATCAAATAATACATAAGCTCATTAGTTTGGTCAGAATATGACAAACATTAGAGGAAAGAGAGATTTTACAAAGGATAATGCCTGTGCCGACTCACTTAGGAACAATAACAGCACACATATAGTTATATACTGTAAATATATTCTGTTCTAAGGTACCTACCATAAAAAGAGACAATACTGGTACTGCTTACAGAAACCTGCAATTAATTTGGGCTTGAAACGTTAAGTACACATTAAACCAAAATACATCCATATTTTTTCAAAAATCATGACACCACTATATATTCGTGACCATTTTTTCCTTAATTACAGAACATGTCACCCAGTGGAACAGTATGTCTTATTGATATGTCTGAATAAGTTTTGGAGATCATTAGTGGTTTAGGGTCTTTTCAAAGGGATTTCATGACAGAAGTAAAAATACAATACCATTCAAAGTAAAAATGGTGCATCTAACTTTGTGACAAAACAAAAGTTAGATACACCTTTTGTGGTTAAACATATTTAAAGGTAGGGTAGGTAAGTTTGAGAAACCGGCTCGAGATCGCTAGAATTTGAAAATACACAACCGGAGAAAATCTGCCACTTCCTTATAGAGCCCCTCCTCCAACACACACAAACGCGCACATGACCAATGAGGGAACGAGATAAGTTTGTACACAGATGGAAGGCTGACAGGCAGGTAGGCCATCCAGTTATTTTAGCCGGGCCGGCTAAAATGATTGGTCGTACTTTTTACAGTATTACGGCTTCCACAGATGACATTTTTTTATGGATTTTTTGTCAAAGCACTTAAGATATTCATTGCTATCGGGATGTTAAGAGCATTCCATGGAATATAACAAAAAGTGTATCTCGAGCCGGTTTCTCAAACTTACCTACCCTACCTTTAAATGTTAAATTAACATATTTCACATTTAAATATGTTACATTTTAAATGTTTTTTTCATTCAAATCTACTAGAATATGACATACTATCCCCCCCCTTCTAAAAAAGCTCCCTCTGAAAATGATTGTGACCATGTTGTCTCTCCATCTGTGGTAGATTCCCCGTTCCCCTGGCAGGAAACCCTGTATCTACAGAAAGGCCTCGTAAATAAATGATCCGATCTTCCAGGCAGTATGTACTGCTATTCACCCACAAATGGCATGACCTACAGCCAACAGCATGACACACATTGAAAAACACACTCCTTATGGAGTTA